GGGGCGGGCGGCCTGGGCGGGGGTCACGATGGTTTCTGGAGGGAGCAGGAGGGAACGACAGGTGAACAGAGACGGAGAAGCCTTCACGCGGAATACACGCCACGGGACAGACGCACACTCCGCCCCACTGCTCCGGGAGCAGTCCACCCTCGGGCCGCCGGGCCCCTGTGGGTGACGTGTGGGTGACGACGTGCTGCCGCGAGCCCTGCAGCCCAGGGAATCACGCCGCGCTCGCTCAAATCCCATTCCGCCTCCTTCCAATTCTATTCATCCTCATCTTTGACTTGTGCTGGGTTTACATTTAATTGCTCAGTAATTGTCTCATGTTTGATCAGCAATTACCGTGCAAAGCGCGCGACGCATGACCTTTTATTAAATAAACCCCAGATCCCGCGTGGCGCTGAGCTTACAACCAGGAGCTTAGCTGCTGAGTGACAATGACGCCTCGGTGAGGGGATTAATTTCTTTTTCTCCTTGGTTACACTTGTCAATCACAGCCCTCTCTCTGGGAGGGCATCACTGGAAAAGCAGGTATTTCCACTGCAGGCACTGAGCTGAGCGATAATTTGTGGTCAGAGAGACAGCGTGGAAGGCAGTTTAAATTGGGTTTAAATGCTCGGTTTGATTTCCAACCAGTAGTATTGTACAAACTTTCCCTTGCTTCTACCCTGGACTTAACTCTACAAGCTGTTTATTAAAATAGCTTTCTGCATCTCCAACAGTGACACAAATACCAGAGTCCAAACAAAGGCACCTCGTGTGCAGGTGTCCAGGTCTGCAGGTGCTCGTCTCTCCTCGAGATGCTCGTCTCTCCTTGCTCCTGCCTGCGGTTAAACACCACAGCTCCTTTCCTAGTGCTCTACACCGAGCGATGGACGGCACAGACACGCGGTTCACCCCAGCCAGGGGGCCAAGCTCAGAGATGCCCGAGAAGCTATTGTAACTCACCCCTAATCCATTCCAGGAGGAGGGGATTTGAATGAAAAGGCTGGCAGCACTCAGGGAATTACGCTGATAGGACCCCTGCAAAAACACCGCGGCTCGCTTTCACCAGGAAATCCTCTGTCGAGTGCCTTGTCCTGCTTTCCTGTGTTCTCTCCCTGCAGTGTGTGACCCCCTGCGGTACGGCACAGAGCACGGGGGCCTCTCTCACCTGAGCACTGTCCAACGTGCTTCACAGAGATGGCCGTGGCCTGGCGGCAGGCGATGGTCCTCAGCTGGCACCGGTCAGCGTAGGTCACCCCGTCAGAACCGCAGACCTGGGCGGCACACAGGACACGTGTTTTTACAGGGGTTTTTACCAGCCCCTCGACGGCTACTGTCGGCTGAGACAGCAGGCGCAGGCTGCAGAGGAACAAGGACAGGTTTATCCCCTGCTGAGGAGAGAAGAGACGCAACGTTTCTTCAGCTGTGTGAATGGGATGAACCTGTTCTTGCTCCCGTGCAGGAAGGACAGATGAAACTCTCTGCGAGAACATCGCCAGCTCAAGGCCTTCAGGCCTCCCTCGCCTGTGTGGTGGCGCTGCTCCTGTCCTCCAGAGCCACGTCATTAACTGCCACACGTTCTGGTCTCAGGTGTCAGCCTCCCCGGCCTGCCCCTACACAGAGAGCCCGCTGCCTGGCACTGGCGCCCCCGAGGAGGCTGGGAGAGCCGCAGGGAGGAAGGGAGCGAGAATCGGGAGGCGTACCTTGGTCTTGTTCTTCTCGGCGCAGTCGGGCGGGGGGCACTCGCACTGGGCCTTGCCGTTCACCTCCGCGCACGTGGCGCCGAACCGGCACTGCAGCGCGGCGCAGGAGGCCTGGCCAGCGGGACCTGTGGGGCGCAGACACTGGGGGTAACACTGAGCAGCCCCATGACCCCAGGATGGCAACACTGAGCCAGAGCTGTCTGCTTCTTACACTCCGGACCAAATCACCCTCAGCCCTGCTTACAGTGTGAATCCCCTCCAAGCACAAAGGCTTAACATTACTGACACAATAGAAACAAGGCTACTGACACTGTAACACTGTGGTAGAAAATATAATAACCCAGTACATTCTAACACACAGGAATACATGAGGTCTCTAAAGGAGAATGCAACTCCTCAGCCCTAAAGGAAATGCCCCCCTCCCCAGCGGTCAGTAAGAGCCAGATGTTTTGCCCACCCTTCTCACAGCTGGCGCCGCCGTCCAGACACATGGTGCACTTCATGCCCGTCACCCCTGTCTTGCACGAGCACAGCCCGGTCATCTGCTCGCAGTCGTCCCGCACAGAGCCCGTCGGGTTGCAGTTGCAGGCTGCGGACAGGAGAGGGGGCAGAGTTGGGAATGTGCGGAGAGTCGGGGTGCAGGACAGCCCGGAGCTGGGGTGCGAGGAGGGGGGGAGGTCTGCCGGCTCCAGGCTGTGACGCAATCTCGGATGGGCGGCCTGGCCCGTTCTCTCTGCAGCTGTTCTCTCCTTAACTGACTAATTTAGCGTAAGTCTCCCTCCGAGCCACTAACGGGGCAAAACGTCTCTCTGAGTGAGTGCCCTCCCTCTGGGGGTTCAGACAGGAAAATGGAGGAGCCACAGGCCTTACAGGGGGGTGTTAGTCATGTGAACGGGAGGTTTAGCGAACATTCGAAAACGCTGACAGACAGGAGGGGAACACAGGCCCGTGCACACAGCCGGGCAGCGTACAAGCTCAATCCATCCTGCCACATCAGACCCGAGCGCCAGAGCAGAGTAAGACGTTGACAGGGTGCTAGTAGACACAAAATTGAGATTGAATTCCAGCTGAGGTGCTGTTCACGATAACAAATTGGACGCCCGAATGAAACAAAGTGCAGTTGAGTTATTTCACACAAACAGAGCTGACCTACAGGATAATCACCCTGACTCAAAAACTGGTCCTGGCAGAGCTGCTTGCCGCACTCACCACCCTCCTCCTCCTCCTCCTCCTCCTCATTTCTGCTGCAATCTGATGACATTTCTCTGGGCAGCCGACAGCCCTGACCCCCCCAGCACACGGACACGCAGATGCTTGCAGAGCACGCTCTGAGCTAAACCTCTTCCTGCTGGAGGCTGGGGACTGGGGACTGGGGACGGCACAGCTCTCTCTCCGCAGGATCAGGTTAGCAACCCCGGGAATTCATTCTGGAAGGAGACCCCCCCCGACCTCGCACACCACCCCGAAAATCACCATAAGCGTTAAGCTGTGACGGTGAAACCACATGGGTGTCTAAAGACATGCTGCTGGGGTCTGTTCTTTTACCTTGAAGTGTCCTTTGAGCAGAGGTCACAGCAGATTACCGGCACCTCATTAAGCCAATTCACATGGCTAGGTGCAGCACTGATTTCAACTGAACTTCCCTGTAGAACACAGGCGTGTCATCATGCATGTTCTATGTTCTGCCTCGTGAGATTCCGGACGGGGGCAGCAGAGAGAGAGAGAGGAGCGAAGCTGGGGTCCTTACGTGTGCAGCCGCTCATGTTGTCCGTGACGATGCCGCGGAAGTTCCAGAATCCGGGCTCGCAGCGGTCACACTTCGGTCCGCCCACCCCGGGCTTGCAGGAGCACTGACCGGTCGTGGGGTCACAGGACCCCCCGTACGACCCGTAGGAGTTGCACAGACAGGTACCTGCGGGTGACAGCGGGGGGCGCCATTAACCTCCATCAACAAAACGCGGCGTCAGATGAAAATGCGTCCCGTGTTAGAGAACAGTGGTGAAGCTCCTGCGGACCTTTGGGTCGGTCCACCAGGACTTGATTCTTCGTGGTCCTTGATTACTGGAGACCCACCCGCTGAGGTTTTCTTGACTGAGATAACTCAGCTGCAGTAAAAGCCTTGCAGTGGAAGAGCTCCAGCCTGCCTAATTACAGCATTCATATCTGTCTTAGGCAATTCAGACAGAAGAGGAACACCCCAGACAGAACAGAGGATCTGCTCTGGACCTAAAAAGCTCCATCTTAAGGACTCATTAGAGTAGAGTGGGGGTAAATCAAACCTGCAGCATTTTCACAGTGTCTGGAATCTGCAGGAAGAGCAATTATGCTTTCTGTTTACCCGCGAGTAAATATCTTTACAATCTATCACAGATCGCCCCAGAACAAAAGCAGGGTTTCCTGTTTCTGCACTTCTAAATCTTTCACTGCTTTTCTTTTCGTCCTGAGCTGCGGTTTCATCCCGCGCACGGAGACATCCTGCCACACAGAGAGCAGGTGGCGGAGGAATGAGACGCTCTTAAGCGAAGCAAAACCTTTGAGGCAGATAATCAAACTCAGGAGGGAGAAAAATAGAAAAACAGGTATGCTTTATAAGCTGGCTTTGAACTTCAATTGAACTTATTACTTTAGACTGTTTTGACTTATGGCCTCCCCAAAGTCTTATTTCTCTCGCTGGGACTTCTCCCCCAGTGACACTGACGGAGAAGAGAAGAGAAGTTTAACACAACCGGCCAGTAATGCAAAGAAAATAAAGTCAGCTGAGCGCTGGGGAGGCATCGATCTGAAGGATGGATGGAGGGTGTAACTTACTAGGGCAGCCCGCCAGCCCCACTCCGAGGGCGAACGTTGTGTTGTCAAGGCAACAGCCGTAAACCGCTTGGCTGCAGTGCTGGGCCGAGGCCGTGGGGGCCGCTGTGCTGGGGGTGGCTGGAGAGAGGGACAGGGGGCGGGGGGCGGGGGGAGGAGACACAGGAGAGTGAGCAAAGTCAACTTCTGGAGCGCGGGTTTTAAAAAAAGACACAATGCAGGCTTACACTTGTGACGGGAAAAGAGGGTGCCCTGAGAGCCTGTAGAGGGTGCCCAGGACAAGAGCACCTGCACGCTCCTACCTGCTCTGAAACCTGGCACACAGTGGGCTTGCCTGTGTGGAGCGCGCCCAGCGGTGTCAGACTCAGCATGGCCACCACACCGCCAGCTCAGCGCCCCCGTCGGGCTCATGCCAGGAACCGGCCCGGGGCAGTTCTGGCTGCGGGGGGCAGGCTGGGTTTGCCGCAGGCAGGGAGATTAGTATGTCTCACGCACTCGTCTCCGGGTTTCAGGATGCTGAGCCACGCGTCCCAGCGGCCTCTGCATGCACACGGCACTGCCGCCGCACAGCAGTTTTGGCCGCTGCTTAATAGTGATGGGTTACTTCCTCCTTCTTCAGGCACAAAAGTGGGGTTTAGATTCAGTTCATTAACCCTGAACTCAAGTCCTGTTTCTCTTTCGCTGTGTCAATTAAGACAAGCCGCCACTTCACTTCATATATCATCTTTTCGTGCTGTCCTGCATTATTCATCCACTCCCCCAGCCTGTCCCAGTGTTCGCTTTAACATAATATATTAATTATTCAGCGCCGCTTTCTTTCTTGAAGCCCTGCTTTCGATTCCATGTGCTGCTCCGAAGCAGGCTGATGCTGGGCATTGAGCTATTCACTCCTCTTGCTTTTAAGCCCCATTATATGTCTCTGAAACGCACTATATAATTACGGTTATGTAACGAAGTATCATTACAGCTTAAAAAACAACACAGCCGGTGTCTGTCCGCGGCTGGCACGCGGCACCGGGCAGCAGCAGGGGGGCTCAGGCTTGTGGCTGGGGGGCTGTGGTGCTGTTGCTCCCTGGAGCGAGAGGCCGGGCCCAGCCTTGTGCCAAATTCCTGAATACTCTGTGACGGGGTGTGGTGTCCAGGGAGGGACATTCGGCTGCACTCCGTCGATGATCAGAACCAGCACCGCCTGCCGGAGACCCGGGTGCCCAGCCCGGCCCGAACGACCCGGAGCCCAGCTCCTCTGCGGCGTGCAGCAGGGCCACTCCCACCTGACACCCCCACACCCCCAGCGTGTGGTTAAAACCCCCTCCCCTTCCTAACCTGACTGCTGCAGCCAGGCCCCAGTCACATCAGAGAGCCGCGCGCCAGCCAGCGCCAGCCAGCGCCCGCCCAGCCATCACACCGAGGTCCCGCTGCCCGCAGGGGCTCCTCTCCCCAGTCACTGGCGGCGGCTCCAGATACCAGGCTCCGCGGCCCTTACCTGCACAGGGCCCCTGGCTGTGGATCTCAACGTGGGCCTGCTTCTCGCAGCGGGTCTTCTTCAGCTGGCACTCGCTGCTGTAGGTGCGGCCGTCCGTCCCACACACCTGCGCCAGGGGGTCAAACACATGGGACCGCTAAGCATGGCTGTGGGCCTCCGCCCTCCCGAACACCCGACCCCCCCGCGGCCAGAAACGACTCAAATAGGGCTGCACCCCAAGACAGAACAAGAAGTGGCTCTGTGTAAAGTTTAGGTTCTAAGTTCTACAGTTCTAAAAAAGGTGAAATATTTATAGTTTTCAATATATTAGTCCCTTGTAGACAGGCAAATGGGTACCAGAGAAGTTACTCGACATTTCGGGAACGACTACTGCTGTAGTGAAAGGGCAGCTGTAGCTTCCAGGAGTGGATAAAAACGAATTCAGCACAACCCATTCAGAGCTCTTCTGTTTCCAGACTCTGGCCCCCTGTCCTCGACAGGAGAGGCCCAGCCAGAGGGATTAGTTTTAATTCCTGATCATTACAGCAAACTGACTTCCACAGATCGACCACGAGTTTCAGAATTAAGTGGCCTGTTGTCTTTATTAATGAGTAGCCTCAGTTGTGACAGGCAGGTGTGTGGAAGGCCGCTAACGATGCTACAGAGCCTGACGATGCTCATCAACTAATCAGCAGATTCCCTCTGCTCTCCGGCTCTCTGGCGCCCCCACCTGGCTCCGCGGTACGCTCTGGCAGGTGAAGTCGCACACACAGCGGTCGTCCTCCGCGTCCTCGTCCCAGGAGCCTCCAAACTTCTTACAGCGCTCCTGTTCGCAGGCGCTGTCCTCTCCCGAACCCGAGCCGCCGGAGGAGCCGCACTCTGGACAGACAGACGCACAGACAGGAAGAAAGGGGCCGTGAGCTGAGTGCTGCTTCCTGTCGACGCCCCGCCCGCCCGGCATGGGTCACAGACCTCGACCACGCCAGCGAGTACTGGCTCTGTCATTCGTAGGCGGAACAGGCGGAAGGCTTGATCTAATCCGGGATTTAATCTCACCCAGGACCAACGAGGATCCATGCAGCAGCAGGACGCCTGAGTCATGGCAGCGCAAACTGTCACTTTTATTGATCTCCCCCAGAAGAAAAATAAATCACAATTGTATCCCATTGAAGTCTTTAATCTACAGGAGAGAATAGGAGAAAATTGTATTCCATTCCTCCCTGGCTGTTTTCCTGACAACGAGGTCTCAGACTGCACGAAAATACACTGACACCGTCCTGACAAATGGATCTGCACTGTTTACCTGAAACAATTATTCAGCAGCTCAAGCGTCATCCACACTGCTTGTGATGCCTACAATCATTCATCAACGGTTTTTAGCATAGGGTGGGATATTTGAGATGTTCTAGTGCATGATATACCCACACCAGCCCTGCCACACTAAAGGTGTCTAAAGTGATAGAGGGACAAACAGAAAGAGAGAGAGAAAGTCTCCCCAGACTGGCCCTGGTGAAGGGGAAGGATCAGCCTGTGCTGCTGCTGCAGAGCCATCTTCCCAGGCTGAGGGCGGAGTCCATCTCTAGCGCCTGTGTCCCCCTCTGCAGCAGCTTGTTTCTTCCGACTGAAAATATGGCTGCCGCCTCATTAGCACATCTGCGAAAACAATCCTGAGGCGCCCTACAGCAGAATCCCCAAGCACGGAGCACTGCGAGGGGATATGAAATCCAGGATCGCCATAATGATGTCACAAGGGGGTGAAGAAAACACCCACAGCAACCTGAATATTAAAAATGAATCTGTAAAAGGGGGATGGGATGACACAGAGCACCCATATTCCACGGTCTTGTTCTGTAGGAGGCTCATTAAGATTCAAGCGAAACTTTCACGAAGTATTGCATAAGTCTCATTCCAGCTGGTGTACAGAACAGGCCAAAAGTCTGGAAGCGGAGTTGTGACTGAAGAGCGACAGAACAGGATATGACCCAGAGGAGCTGCTGAGCTGTTGGAATGAGGAGGAGCAAGGGGAAGCAGGCAATGCCTCCCTGCCTGTGGTTAACACCTTCTGTGCTCCTGCTGCAACGCTGAGTTACAAACTAGTCTGACAGCTGTCACTCCGTCAAACACAAGGCTTTACTTCTGCTTAAAGTTCAGCAAAGGCAAATATCTGGCTCCTACAGCTGTCTGCAAAACACCTCCCTTCAGGAGCAGAAAGTGGACTGCACCTGGCTAGTGAGAAGCCTGAAAAGGTAAGATAGAGGTGGCGCACAATGGCTCAGGCTTGCTGTCTTTTAAAAAGGATCTCGAAAAACAAAACGTTAAATTCTAGAAAGCGCCGGATGAGATGCATTTCATTAGGAGGTAGAACAGTGACAATGACAGAGTGGGGGATCTGATTGCCTGGGGACCCCGAGCTGGCTGCAGTGTCTTGGGGTCTAGGCGTGACAGCTGCACACAACTGAGCGAGGGACATGACGAGACCGCCACAGGGCTGTGCACCACTCACAACAATACAGGTGCTTCACTGTCCCGGCAGCACAGCGCAGGTTTCAGGGGAGCCACAGGGGACAGCGAACGTGGCTGTTCCTTTAAATCACACAGCGAGGCAGGAAGTCCCTTGCCACGCCAGTAAAGGTGAAGCTCTGATGTTTCACCATGAAAGCCTGAATGAAAATAATCGAAGAGATAAACTGGCACCCTGCAGACATGAAGAGGCTCGGCGCCTGAGAGGAAAGCATGCAGACGAAAGCTGATTTGGATCGTGTCTCTGTAAGCGATTCCTGAAGGGGGGTCTGCCAGCTGTCCTGATGAAGTGAGACTGCGGCTGCCACCGGCACTCGTGGCGCTATGCCCCCCCATCGTTCTCTGGGGGCCCTCCGCCCCCACGACACCCTCCCCTGGGCTCGGGGGCCGAGAAGCTACACCCTGCAACGGCTGTAGTGACAAAATGAACCCAGTGCTGATGGCCCCAGCAGCTGGGGGAACGATGTATAACCTGCAGCTGAGCAGGATCCAATTCTCCCTTGTGCAGGCCTGCCTACACGACTGAAGCAAGATCCCACTGTCATCCAGCGCCCCAGACGAGAGGCTGCAAACGTCACTGAACACAGCATTAACAGAGTGGCATGAAAGTGAGAGCAATCAGCCTCTGCTTGTGGACTGAATGGCCTGTTAGGAACAACGACGAATCCCAGGCACCGGTAACACTGTGAGGGGAACTGCAGCGCCCTCAGCTCTAAAACTGCCAGCCAGCCTACGCAGAACCAAGACTGCTGATGCCCAAGCCTCGGTTCACCAGGCAAGCTGCACTGCGGAAAATAAGATAAGAAGAATTCCGGGTTTTTAAATCATATTCCCTAAATGGGATTCCTTAGCGTGGGCACCGAGAGACACAGTACGGGGCACCCTGCAGCTCTCTCCCTGCCCTTCCTGTGGGGGTGACCTCTCTGGTGTCAAAGTGAGCACCACCCTTTCCCCACCCGTCCCCCAAGCTGGGAAGCAGGCTCATTCCCAGGCCAGGTCCCGGGGGCGCCTACCAAGTCTGCCTGGGGCGGTGACTTGTGAGAGTGCTGGGACATCAGCTCTGAATAAGAGGAGCCCCATCTAGAAGCTTCTCTTCGCTGCGTGATGGCTGCAGGGTCCTGAGGCATGTGCTTCAACAGTATCACTGTTCCAGACCCCCGCCAGCATATTTGTGCACAGAAGTGTTTATGCCCTGATGTCCTGCCCCCCGGAAATTTACAGCCCTGGAGTCCTGGAACCCCAAGAGGAGGTCCGGCTTTATTTCGCACCTGAGCCCTTCTGCGCTGGACAGGTGTGCAACTGCTGCCGCCCCCCCGCGGCCCCCCCGCAGAGAAAACCGCCGATCCCGCCGCGGCGCTCGGGCGCTCTGTATCCCAAGCATTCCTTCTTCACACTTTATTCCTGCCACGTCCCTGCCCGCCCTGGGGGTCCCTCCTCCCGTTCTGGTTTGGATCACGCCAGCCGTGGCCGGCGTGAGGAATGTGATCCCATGCAGACCAAATCATGTGTCGCCGGGGGAAGAGAAATGGCTGAGCTTCTCGTCCAGACGGGGAGCGTGGTGATGGATTGCAACGCCCCGACTGTCGCCCCCCCCCCTCTCCTCTCGCTCTCCTGGTGCGGGGGATCCTGCCTCCCGCCCACACTTCCAGCGCACATCTGCTGCAGCTGGCGGCGGCGTGCCCTCGCTGGCGTTGACGCCGGCCGGGCGGGGCGAGCAGCGAGCGGCGAACGGCGAGCGGCTCAGGGCCACGCCATCCCCGCGGCGTCTTCGACCCGGCGTCAGAGCCGCGGCTGTTGTCGCTACCTTCCCTGTACAGACTAATCCAATTTACTAATCAGGCTCTCAATTAAGCAGCTCGGCCCCGTCGGTGATACAGCACAAACAGGGAGCGCTTTGTCAGTGTCTACGAAGAACGTGAAGTTCAGCCTACCCAAGTGTGAAATTAAACAGGTGATAAATTTCCCCACACGGCCACCAATTGGAACACTGTCATTTTTCATTACTGCTAAATAAAAGAGAAAAAAAAAAGGCCCATTTCTCCTTGTGACTAATGAACGTAGTTTTTAAATTCTGCAGAAGCGGACCGAAAATGAATCGCCTGCGCTATCTGACTCCCTCGCTCCTTGTCGGGGAAGTGCATGCGAAATTTAACCAATGAGGAATTAAAAAAAACCCAGCAAGGATTAAACTGCATCTTGTGAAATTATGTCTTACTTTCCTTGCGCTTTTGTTCTTTACAGAAGGATAAGAGAGAGGATATGGGGCACATTATTATTACAGTATAATAACAGATTTCAGCAGACTGTGTAGTTTAGTAATCGATGAGTGTTGTATCTAATAGATCTTGATGAATCAAAAAGTGTTATGGATTGTTTCATACTCGACAGCCACCAGGCTCTGTGTGAGATAAGGTCTTCTCACTTCATTTTACAGAGCTAATTGAAATTCGATTTTACTTGTCCTAATCCCCCCATTTACAGGTGCCAGCATATTACTAAAGACTATTCCACAGCACTGATGGGGCCTATATCACAACAAGAAAGTCCCTCACCCCAAGCTTCTGCAAAACAAGTCAGGCCTGATCTCTCACCTCACCTCACCTCTCCTTTCCTCTTGTCTTCCCTGACCTCCTCTCTCCTTTCCTCTCACCTCCTCTCTCCTCTCCTCTCACCTCCTCTCCTCTTTCCTCTCTCCTCTCACCTCTCCTCTCCTATCTTTTACAGGTATGTGCTTACAGAGGGGGAAAGGATGTACTGTATCATACTGTTACATGTCCTGGGGACATTAAAGATACCCATATGAGCTGCTGTATAACCGGCAAGCACTGCTGGGGGCGATGGAGTTCCAGGTCACATGTGATGTTAGGCTCCAGGAAGGGTGCACCTGCGGCGGGTCATGTGACCGTGGAAAGTGACCAGGCCACTCAGGGAGGTCTCCACTTTGGGTCTTAGAACTGAAGAGACCGACTTTAAATTAAGAAAAAATGACTGTGCTCTTATAGCAGTGGACATGCAGTGTTTCATGTGGTGCTCTTTGCCTGCCAGTCTCCCTGATGCCGTATGTGTCATCTGGACAGCGTTGGGCTTAGCCTCAGGTCTGTAAACGGCTGAGCCCAGGTACTCACACTCTGTACGTTTTGTAAATAAATGGATATTTGTGTTGTAGGAGTAGCTCATTTATTCTGTAACTTTGCTGTACCAGGAACAAAGCCATGTGACAGCATTAGACATTCCTTAGCTAATGGGCTGTTTCATTATTTAGCCTTTTATAAATTTGCCTGCTAGTTTAATCAGTGGCAGGACTGACTTTCTCACTCATATTTTACCTTGTTTATTTAATTTACACAACCACCCGCCCTGAGTCCGTCTGGGCAGACCACATTTTCCCACGCACCCCGCTGGGCGAAAGACAAGACACACTGTCTTGGAGCAAGATGATACCTTGGCTGTGAGTCAAATCAGAGAGGCGAACAGCAGGACGACAACCCCAGGACCCCCTCCGGGCACAGTAACTCAGACTGCAGTAAGGCGCGGCCAGGGGGTGGAGTGTCTCCCCCGCGCTATCAGCTCCCCCACGGACGAGCAACAGGCGGACACAAAATGCTTACTTTCATACGGGCGCGAAAAAGGATCATGGCTTCTCAGCACAGCCTGAACCAGTTTTTATAAGCCCAGGAGAACCTGATTTTTCAGGCTGTGCTCGAAAGTAATTCATGCCTGAGCTGAGAACTGGGCAATTTTGGTGTTTATCCTAAATCAGAGCTGACAGTGCTGAGTGATACTAGCATGACTTCCTTCTCAGACCGGGGTGACATTGCTTTAACAAATGAGGTTGTTTCCAGCCCCACGGGCAGAGCTTGTGCAAAGCAAGCCAGGCGAGGACAATCGATTCACCTCTCTTCAGTTCTGTCCCACGGTCATTTTCATTTTTTAGACTTTCTTTATTCATTTTTAAAACTCTTTAAACATAACTTCACGGGTTTTTGCATCGGCGGCGTGTGCCTTTTTGCCACTGATGGGCCATCTGTCCCCGCTCCAGCAAGCCAGCTACGCTGATGGCAAAGTTTGGGCTCCAGTCACAAGAAGGCTCGCCTGCCCTGTGCGAAATGTGCTGAGAACCCAGCTCTCTGTGAGTCAGGCAGGATTGTTCCTGTGGCTGAGTACAGCAGTGGGAGGTTAGAAATGTCATTTTCGAGAGCTGCAATGCAGCCTCGTGAGCAAAACTGAAGTAAATTACGGTAACAGCTTTCGTCTGGTGCTGATAACATTTTACAGACACCTGCTGTGAGGGTATTAATGAGAGAAGCATCTAATTACACAGCCTGTTGTGTTTGACAGGCATGTGACCAGCTTTGACACTGTAAGAAATATTACAAGCATTCTGTAATATACCATGGTAACTACATTGTAGAGTACAGTGAAACCATGGTAAAATTAGTATAAAGCACAGAGAGGTGCGGTACAGCACAGTGAAATCATGGTAAAATCATGGCAAGCCCTACCTTCATCGCAGGGGCCCGTCCTGGCGATGTCTATTTTCTTCCGCAGGTGGCAGGAGGCAGCCCGCAGGTCGCAGGTGCTGTCGTAGGTGACCCCATCACTGCCGCACACCGGGGCGCCGGGCTGACCCGCGCAGCTGGGGCACACACACTGGTTCCTCACGCACATGGCGCCCCAGGAGCACACGCCGTCCCCACAGGTCTCTGCCAGGACACGGGCACCGGCGTTAGCAGGAAGCACAGATGATCTAACGTCCGCTGCCTGGGGGGGACCTCACTTCCTGTCTACTTGTGTATCTGATCAGGCACAGCCCTGGGGCAAACCACCAGGGGCCCTGGCGTCCAGACACCCACACTGTCTTTCTTACAAGATCCAGGGGGAATCTGGCAGCTGCACGTCCTGAATCTATTCTCCATGTTTTGTTATTTTAAAACAGCAAAACAACAAATGTTCCACGTTTGCAAGAGAAAACCTTTAGCGAGCTGCGGTTTCAGGAGCGCCACCTCTCGTTACCCATGTTCCTGCGCTCCCGACCGAGACGACGGGTGTACGGTGCAGTGTCCCGAGACGTGCCGGCGGTCAGACTGCCGCCCCACGCCCCTGGGGGCATGTGGGGGTCTTCAGACAGGCGCGGCACTCACTGCACTCCCCCTGCGCCGCCACCCGCAGGTCCTTCTGCTGCGTGCACGCCTGCACGTGCAGCTCGCACTCGTTGGCGTAGGTCGCGCCGTCGGTGCCGCACACGGGCTGGTGGGACGCCACGCACTCCGTCGGGCACACGCAGCGGCCCGTCTCCGTGTCGCAGATGGCGCCGAAGCGGCAGCTGCTGCAGGGCTCTGCGGGGAGGGAGGGAGAGCGGCGGGCGTGAGAGGGCGGGGCGGGGCTCTGGCCAGCGCTCGGACCCGGGGCCGACAGCCGGGGGCTAGCCGTGAGAAGACCACGAGCGGCCTACGAAAATGCAGGGAGCCTTCCAGCACCTCAAAGGGGTGTTTGCCCCCACCCCGAAACATCTATGGAACAGCAAACAAAGTCACAGAGGGGACCCCAAATGCCTTGAGTGCCCCCCCACCCAGTCTCCCACTGCAGGCAAGCTGCTCTGTCCTCGCTCTGACAGCACGCAGGGGCCAATTAGAGGGATGGGCAGTAGATCCCGGAACGAGGTCACCCTTCCTGCGCCGCGGCTGGCCAAAGGTCTCGCAGGGTCAGGGCGTTCATTCTCACAGTAGCACCCAGCTTCTTCGTCAAGGATCTGAACGCCACGCCGGCCCCCGGCGTCAGCCGATTCCCAGCAGGCTCGCTGGAAACCAAGCCCCGCCGCCCTGCCAGCTCTGCCTTTCAGCCCTTCAGACCAGTGCGGGGGCATCAGCACACAACATCAGACGCAGCCTCCCGCCCAAAGGGAAAGGAAAGCTGCTGTGCAGGAAACTAAATCTGAGAGGCACACACGTCAACATCCAGCACAGCTCCCTACAGGATTCATCTGCTTTTCTCAAACTGAATGACTTCTGAATTTTTGGAAGAGACTTTTTCCTGAAGTCACTCAGGAGGTGGAGTTAACAACGTCACACTTTAATTCAATGCTGTTTCTGAGGCCTGAGGAAATGCAAATAAACTGCGCTAGAAATACTCCTATGCTACTGCATTCCATGGTGAAACCAGACAACGAAGCAACAATAGCACCAGCCTGGGCACAGTGTAGCAGATACAGAGCAGATAATCACGGTGAAGCCACTGGACACCTACACACAAACTCTTAGCTGCTTTCTTGCACAGACTATATTAGTGACCGCGTCGCACACACAGTCCTGTACACTGAGCCCTGCTGCTCCCTACTGCTCCTCATATGTTCACGCAGGTAGTTCCTCTTCCGAAACGCCAGCTGTGTGCCTCAGGGCCCACGCAAGTGCAGACTCAGAGCAAGCGGTTGATTTAAAAGCCACCCCAAATCCGAGGCGTCCGCCTCTTCTCCCTGCTGGCCGCCCGGAGCAAGTGCTCCATCATCTCTGCTAGAGGCTGAGGAGGCTCATTCGTTCTTGCCTGGTGAGCTGCATCCATGGGAGACTCAGACAAACTGTCTTTCATTGGTTTTGTTTTTGTTGCAGCACTTTCATTTCTGTTGCTAGGAAGAAAATAGTTCTCTCCCTCTCCCTCTCTCCTCTCGGTTTCCCTCTCTCCTTTCCTTTTCTCTCCCTCTCGTTCTCTTACCTCCCTCCCCTCTCCCCTTTCCTCTTCCCCTCTCTCCTTCTCTCTCACACCATCTCTCTCCCATGGGTGACCTACATTTCCACCAAAATATCATTTCCAGCACCTGTGAGAGTTCTCCTCCCTCTCCTCTCCCTTCACTTCTTGTCTCTCCTCTCCCCCCTCTGCTCTCCTCTTGTCTTCTCTCACCTCCTCCCTCCTCTCCTCTTTCCTCTCACCTCTTCCTCCTCCTCTCTCCTCATCTCTCCTTTCCTCTTGTCTTCCCTGACCTCCTCTCTCCTTTCCTCTCCTCTCCTCTCTCCTCTCCTCTTCTCTCTCCTCTCCTCTCTCCTCTCCCTCTGTACACATCTATGAATGGCCTCTCAGAACTGGTGACATTCTTCCCAGCTTTATTAGCTGTATTAGCTCCACAGACATATCAAGGCACCATGACAAGGTCATTCACCATTAGAACAATATAAAAAATAATGAAAAAATAACAGTAATAAAAAAAATGTCTGTCGTATCGACACCAGCAGCCACCTGAGCTGTAAAGATAAGTGGCTTTTATGAACACTTTTCTCAAGCACAGGGGAAAAAAACAGGAAAAATTATAATCACACAATGATTTAATATTCTTCTCTCTCTAAGCCTCTCATTTCAATGGGAGCTGATGCTGGTCACAGATAGCGCTGCTTAATGAAAGATCAGCTGAGCAG